TTGTTTTGTAATCATCGAAAATCAAAATCAATAAAATCTACTTCTATTTTCTCTTTGATATTCTTCTTCGTTTTCTCTATCATCATCATCTTCTTCTTCGTTTTCTCTATCATCATCATCTTCTTCTTCTTTATCATTCTCACAGATCAGAGCCATGTCCAAGGCTTCTGACATGGCTAGTCTTTTGGTATTAGTAAATGTAACGGGTTAGGGAAGAAAAATACTGAATAATTCTTGTGTTCTTATTGAAATAAAAAGTAGAGATACATATACATGTAAACGGATTCATATATGGTAAGTAACATAAATTACTCTAATTATTTTCTTTTTAATTAAGCTTACATATTTAGAAAGATAATCATATTATTATGTATAGAGAATATTTTATAATATTCTAACACTCTCCCTCAAATTGGAGCATAAATATTATTGCTTTTAAGCTTGTAAAAGACCCATTTTCGTTGTTTTGTAATCATCGAAAATCAAAATCAATAAAATCTACTTCTATTTTCTCTTTGATATTCTTCTTCGTTTTTCTATCATCATCTTCTTCTTCTTCTTTATCATTCTCACAGATCAGAGCCATGTCCAAGGCTTTTGACATGGCTAGTCTTTTGGTATTAGTAAATGTAACAGGTTAGGGAAGAAAAATACTGAATAATTCTTATGTTCTTATTGAAATTAAAAGTAGAGATATATATACATGTAGACGGATTCATATATGGTAAGTAACATAAATTACTCTAATTATTTTCTTTTTAATTACGCTTACATATTTAGAAAGATAATCATATTATTATGTATAGAGAATATTTTATAATATTCTAACACTCCCCCTTAAAGTAGAACATAGATATTATTGCTTTTAAGCCTATAAAAGATCCATTTTCGTTGTTTTGTAATCATCGAAAATCAAAATCAATAAAATCTACTTCTATTTTCTCTTTGATATTCTTCTTCATCTCCTCTATCATCATCTTCTTCTTCTTCTTTATCATTCTCACATATCAGAGCCATGTCCAAGACTTTTAACATGGCTAGTCTCTTGGTATTAATAAATGTAATGGGTTAGGGAAGAAAAATACTGAATAATTCTTCTGTTCTTATTGAAATGAAAAATAGGGATATATATACATAGAAACGGATTCATATATGATAAGCAACATAAATTACCCTAATTATTTTCTTTTTAATTACGCTTACATATTTATAAAAATAATCATATTATTATATATAGAGACTATTTTATAATATTCTAACACTCCCCCTCAAACTGTATCATAGATATTAATCATGCTCAGGTTGTTCCGAAGATACTCAATCCGTGTTCTATTAAGAGACTTTGTGAATATATCATCAAGTTGTTCTCTTGTTTTCACATAACTAGTAGATATAAAGTTTTCTTGAATCTTCTCCTGGATGAAGTGACAATCAACTTCAATATGTTTGGTTCTCTCATGATACACAGGATTTGAGACAATATGAAGCTCAACCTAATTATCACATCAGAGTTTTGCAGGAGATGTGGACTTCAAACCCACTTCATCTAACAAATGATATATCCATAAGATTTCGCATATGATCTAGGTCATAGCTCTATAGTTGGACTCTGTACTTGAGCGAGATACAACTGTTTGTTTTTTACTTTTTCATGATATGAGATTCCCACCAATAAAAGCACAATAGCCCGTGATAGACCTCCTATCAATCTTAGATCTAATCCAATCAACATCTGTAAAACATTCAATTTGAGTATGCACTTGATTTTTGAATACTATGCCGAGTCCCGAGGCACCTTTTAAGTAATATATCTCGAACATAACAGATGTTACTAAATATTTTAGATTGTACCGGAAACAAAGACTTGTTTGGAAAAAAGAGGCTGTAAGGATTCCCATCAAGCACTATTGATGACATACGATTAATTAAGAAACAAGCTGTAGAAACGACATCAGTCCAAAATTGCTTAGGGACTTGTGTTTGGAATAAGAAGGCTAGAGCTGTCTCAAGTAAATGTTTGTTTTTCCTCTGAGTGACTCCATTTTGAGATGGTGTATCAACACACGAAAATTGGTGAAGGATTTTGTGTTGAGTTATATAGTTCTGAAATGAATCTGACATATATTTATTGACATTATCACTCCTCAATACATGCACAGAAATACTGAATTGTGTCTTGATTTCAACACAGAAGCACAAAAGTGAGAAAATACTTCTCAACAATTTCTCATAAAATATATTCAAATCATACGAGAAAAATCATCAACCAAGGTAACGAAATATTTGAACGCAGTTTTGGACGGAACAGGGCAGTTGTCCCAAACACATGATAATGAATTAACTCAAAAGTAAATTATGTTCGTTTATTAACCCTTGGATCTGATGGACTACGGTGATGTTTTGCGAATCGACATGACTCACAATTCAGTGAGAATATATCATGAAATTGAGAATATAACTTCTTTAATACAGATAGAGATAGATGTTCCAATTGACAATATGCTTCAAATGGAGAGATAATACTAGAGCTGACAACTGATCGAGATACTCAAGTATCAAGAATGTAAAGACCATCTGACATATTTCTTTTACCAATAATTTGTTTCGTCATAAAATCTTGAATAACACAGTGATCAGGAAAAAAATATAATGCAACAATTCAAATATTTAGTAAGCTTATTCACAGAAATCAGATTGAAGGCAAGTTTAGGTAGATTTAATACAGATGACAGAGTAATAGATGACGTTGATTTTGTGGTCCCCAAACCCACAATATTATATGTTGACCCATCAACAATAGTTATAGGAAAAGGTGTTTTGTGTGGTCGAAAACTAGAAAAAATATCAGGATTATCTGTCATGTGATCTGTAGCACCAGGATCAATCACTTATCTGTTTGAGCAGGATATAAGACATTTTTTTTTTATTCAGTAAGAGCAGAAAATTTATTTAAAAATTCTTAATACTGAGTGAATTTAGTATACTTATCAACTGAAATTATAATAGTTTTATCAGAAGATGAACTAGCAGTAGCATCAACAATATTAGCTGTTTGTGTCCTCCGATTGTGATTCTGTAATTTTTTACAATATCGTTTTATATATCGTTGTTCACGGCAATAATAGCAGACAATATTATCATCCATTTCAATTCAGAAATTATAAAAAAATACTACTTCGAATACCCAAGTCATAACAGTTAGAGATACCCAGAAAACATTGCAAATATATCAGAAAATTTGAGAAAACAGAATACCTCTTCACACACGGATATCAACAATCTTACCAGGACCTCACTGTCAACCACCGGAGGATCTACACTGCCGCACGCGCTGCAACCAGAGAGCCACGTGCTGCCGTCGGAGTTACATGCACCGTCGCTTGAAACCACCAAACAGTCTCCCTTCACCCGTAAATCACCACAGAACTTTAATGCCAGCCCTAATTCAGAATGGTGCTCGCAGAAATGCCCCAAATCGCGCTAGAGAGCGGAAAATTGCTTGTTGTCGTGCGATTTGCTCCGCCGCGCCTTTTCCCTCTTCGGCCTTCTGGTTTCGTGCATAGAAACGGTCGACCTAACTCCTCTGTTTCTTCTATCCTCGAACAGGAACCCAGAATGCACAAAAATGCTCTCCTCAGACAATCCCGTAGCATGTAGCCTTAAACCGCCGCGCGAACCGCTTCCTCGGCTTCTCCCGCGTGCGCAATTGTGCTGGCCGCACTCTGAACTGGCCAGAGATCGGTGGTTGTCTTCCTCCAGCACTGGGAATGGGTTGTTCAATCCTTCTTTGGGTCTGATGTGATTTGACCCCTAAAACCCTAATCCTAACCTTAGCTTTGATACCATGTAACGGGTTAGAGAAGAAAAATATTGAATAATTCTTATGTTCTTATTAAAATGAAAAGTAGAGATATATATACATGTAGACGGATTCATATATAGTAATCAACATAAATTGCCCTAATTATTTTCTTCCTAATTACGCTTACATATTTAGAAGACGGATTCATATATGGTAATCAACATAAATTACCCTAATTATTATTTTTCTAATTACGTTTACATATTTAGAAAGATAATCATATTATTATGTATAGAGAGTTCTCCCATTAGAAATTGCTATTTCAGGTAAGTAAAGATCATTAATTTTCATAGGATTTGTTCTCCTTGGCAACTAAGAAAACGAATTAAATTCTACTTGTGTTCCTTAATAAATTAGTAGAATCACTTTTTATTTTTTCATTTGTGCTAGTGGAAGAATGGTGAATATCATCTCTTACCAATGAGGACATAAAACAACTTCATACTTATATTGTTAATGGAGTAGATTTTATTGTCAAATTATATAGCAAAGGTAATGTTTCATTTTTGTTTGATTTGTGTCCATCTAATTAAAAAATGCATAATGGAGTTTGCATTTGGGTTTTCAAGCGATTGCTTAAATAATGGCCGGGCACAAATGCCAAGGTGTGTCCTATATCAATATTTTCTGTCTCTAGAATCAGATATATTGACAAAAGCAGTTGTGTCTATGAGGTATATCCAAGTCCTACTCTCTGTGCTACTTAAGATATCACTAATTTCTGTGACTATTCAATCAAATGGCGGTAATCTATGGTTTTCAATAAAATCTTAAGGGTTCTAAGTCAGATGTAAAGAGGTTTGATGCACAAAATTTGTAGGGTTTATAGATAACTAAGTCACTGAACTGGTTTGTGGTGGAAATGCAAGGCTTTTGTGTTTTTAAATATTGTTGTTTAAATTTAGAAATTGATGTTCATGCAATTTAGTTTTGATTTTAGATCTCTTTATAGGGAATTATAGGTAAAAGCATTTGTTTCCACCATGGGACATGCAAGACAAGGTGCTTTTCTTACTCATTCTAGTAAGGGAGATGATGGAAGACCATGCCTTACACAAAAGGACTTGCATTGACTTATTGAGATAGGACTAGACTTTGGGTAACTTGTCTGTGGCTCAATTTTTTCACTTTCTTTTATCTTCTTTTTCATAATTCCAATGATGTATGCTGTCTCTTGTGCTGTTAGCTCATTTTGTTGGGCTATTTTTACCCCATACTGGTGCCTATATAAGGCACACTCTCAGCTCTGTTTAACCATCTCCCGGTGGCTTTTATATCTCCTTTCTCTTTTTCTTTATTCTGCAGTATTTCTGCCAGGCAAGTCACTGTTTAGTCGATTGTATGTAGTACTATTCTACTGATTTGCTAGTGTTGGCTGCATGATGGTGGTTGTTGCATGTTGTAAATCATTCTGCATGGAATTGTAGTTTGTACTTTCTGCATGAGAATTGTAGTCTGTACTTGCTGCGAAAGGACTATTTCATTTTGTATCCATCTTTGAGTCGTCTCATAAAAGAACTTTTGTTGGCTTTTTGATGAGTCAATTGTTCTTTTTCTTAGAGTTTGTGTTATTTGCCAATACAACCATATAGTTAAATTTTGAATTCTTTTTTTCTGCATTTTTATCCTCATGATATAGTATACTATTATTTGAATTATAAAGTTTCTCAAATTACTTGATAGGTAATAAATCTCAGTTGGAAGAAGATGAGCAGTTTGCCAGAGCCTTACAAGAAAGCTGGAACTCTGAACCTCCTCAATATGGAATTGGAAATGGAAACTTGCTCCATATGGACATGGGAACAGAAATGTGCCGTAATGTGGACATGGAAATGGAAATATTTAGTGAGCAATACCGGTCCATTTCCAAATGATTTAAGGTAAATGAGTTATGTGGTTAACTGTGTATATTTTGTCTGTCATTGGTTGATTCCGGTGTTTTCACTGAGGAGTGGGTTTTTTTTTTCTTTTATTTTTCTTTCTTTCTAATTTTACTTTTTGCACTGGGTCTATTACTTGAATGTACCCTGCTGCCTCTATTTTGTGTTTTCATTAGTTTTTGACTTACCTGCTAATTACTTGAAATTAGCTTTTAACAATGTGTAAAAAGTGATATAATATCTTGATCAAATACTGTCTGGAATTTGTTATCTTTTATTGGATCATTTCATATGATTTTTTTAAATAAATGCATCAAATCACTGCCTTGTTGAAGTCTTTATTGTGGCTCATTATAATAACGAGGTTCCTTCCCAAATCACTCGATCAAAAGCTTTCTGCCAGCTAACATTGAAAGACAGATGAAGGCGAATGACATGATATTAATTACTCGCTTTGAGATGTGTCATAATGTAACTGTCTACAGAGCAATATGTTATGTTTCCTGATTAAGGATCGAGTCATTGGGCGGTTAACAATAAAGTTGTCTTTTATTAAAGGTTTACCACTCTTGTTCTCATTGCGAGAGCGACCTATTTTGTGAAAATAAATTACAGTTCATTAAAAAGATCTGCTACTTTGGATCTCGTTAAAAAGACCTCCAATTTTATAATTTAAAATAATATTCTGACTTTTCTTTATTGATATTAAATATACCCCTTTATATAGAGGTTACAATTCTTATTTAGAAATGTTAATCTAATTTGAAATCTCAATCTAATTAGAAATACTTTATTAAGATATTGAAAATCTTACACTATTTAAGAATAAAGTACTAATGGAAAATATCAATTATTTAGAAATTTAATACTAATTAGAATTCAAACTATTTATAAATTTAATATTAATTATAATTTCATATTTAATTAAATGTCAATTTTTTATTCTTGCTGGACCTTTTATATTTGCATCCATAACATTACTCTTCCCTAGTTTTCAAGCTTGAATTGTGGATATGACTGCCTTATTGGTCTTTTTTTGTTGCTCAGGATCAGTGTCATGTTCAATATCGAGCCAAAACAGTTGTTTACATTGGTAACTCGGAACAAACGGCTCATCGCAGTTATAACACAACTCCTTCGGTCTCCTTTCTGTCATCTCTGTCCTTGTTAGTTTTTTTATAAATGGAGAGAAAGTGTTACCAAATTGTGTCGTAAAGTTGCTGTTCTGTGGTGTTTTCTGAATTAAATTGTTAGGCTTGGTAACGGACTGAAAATGATCATTATAATTGTGTTCGGTCATATTCCACAACTGTTGTTTCTTTTCAAAAGCTCTGACCATGCTCATTGCGTGCATAAGAGTGGTGGGTGATTGCATCTCGAGTTTTAGCTTGATTGAATCTACTAAACCCGTAGTAAACAGGTTAACTAGCTGGTCTTGTCGTACTTTATGGGCACGGGCCAAGAGTCTCTGAAACTGCTGTATATAGTCCTCCACTGTGCTTGTTTGTTTTAGGTTGATTAGCTCTCCTAATGAATTGTTCTGTAGGGGGGGGACCAAACCGCAATGTGCAGAGTTCAACAAACTGGCCCCATAACATCCTTGTCTCCTCCTATTACAGTTTGTAGTACCAAAGTTGAGCATCGCCTAACAAATGGAAGGTTGCCAATCCAAGCTTGTCGTTGTTAAGCGTTCTTTGATTAATAAAAAATTGTTCGCGACGATGGAGCCAAGCCAACGGGTTGTCTGATTCATTGTAGGTAGGAAAATTAAGTTTTGTATGTGAAAGAATTCATTCGTTGTTATGGGAACTGATGCTGGATTTTTCGCGCCCTGTTTTAGTCTGCCGCTTTTCCCCTCTCTAATTTTGATTTGAACCATCGTTGTTAGTTTTTACACTATCAATTTCCTATTTTTCTTGGACTTGGGCGATTCGGCTGAGAAGAAGTTCTAATTGTTGTTTGATTTGGTGCAAACTCTCTTTTGTGCAGTTTCAGAAGTCGTCATCTGAGATTCTAGATTCTGCAACTCTTCTCGTAAACTTTGGTTGCCCATAGTGCCTTGCTCTGATATCAAATTGTTATCTTTCCTCATTAAGAATCGAGTCACTGGGTGGTTAACAATAAAGTCGTCTTCTAGTAAAAGTTAACACTCTTGTTCTTATTGCGAGAGTAACATATTTTGTGAAAATAAATTACAGTTTATTAAAGAGAGCTTGTTACCTTTGAATCTCGTTAAAGAGAGCTCAAATATTATACTTTAAAATAATATTCTGACTTATCTTTATTGATATCAAGCATACCCCTTTATATAGAGGTTGCAATTCTTATTTAGAAATGTTAATTTAATTTGGAATCTAAATTTAATTAGAAATACTTTACTAACATATTGGAAATCTTATATTATTTAGAAATTAAGTACTAATGGAAAATATATATTATTTA